CTAATTATTAGGTTGGCACATAAGTAATGCAACTTTTTATATAACTTTTGTCTATTTGAACGTAGCGCATTCATTTTTTGGCAATATAAGGAATATGATGTAAGCTTCTAATGCACACATTTTTGCCGAATTTTACCATCTTATGTGAGGACTACGGTAGGTTTACGGTACTATGGGAAAAGTTTTAGATTGCATCAAATTTTTGCTGAAACTTGGCCCATAGGGCTTATTTGACATGCTGATCACAAAAATGAGATCCTTTCGCATGAAAAGGCCTCGTTCGTGAGATCAAAAGATGAATTTCATTTTAGCGGCGAATGAATATGATATTCGTGTTTACCGCATAGGATTACCCTATAGTGCAAAGTTATAGCGAATTCTGACTTTCAGCAGCTTAGTTATTGACAAAATGCCTTCAAAACTTGACGCATTTCACTTGTTCAACTTCTCAAAGGCGCCCCACCTTAAATTGTGTTTGAATTTCATTTCTTTTTCACTGATTCCAATGTGCCAGCTTCCAGCTACATGCTGCCTATAATTGCTTTTTCATATGTTTCAATCAGGTTTCGTAGGGCTTCATGTTTGCCAAAAAATCGTGAAACCTCGATTTTCAGCAGTTTTCAAAAAATGCTTAGATTTTTTGCATCACGTTATCAAAAATCAAACGGTTTGCGCAGACTTGCAGCTTACATCACGATCTACACGATGCCACAAAATGAGGTTGCTACATAAAATAGGAGAAGTTACGGGAAAAGTTGCAAAACTTATGTGCCAACCTAATACAAAGCTTTCCGCTACCGTACTTAGTGCCCTCTTACGGTATGCGCACTGTAACGCTGATTTTTGGTTTTTTTCCAGAATTCAATGTTGCCTTTGTAAAGCAAAGTTCAGTTGAGCCTTTAAGACTTCTTCAGTCTTTATTAGTTGCAACTAATGAGTCAAAAAATTACAAATCAGGGTTCAAATACAATTAATGATTTGACTTGTTTTCATTGATTTGATTGATTGATTTCGACGTGTTTGTGACTGCAACGTTGATTTAGAAAATTTTGGAAAAAAAAACAAAAATTCAGCGTTACAGTGCGCATACCGTGAGAAGCCATGAAGTATGATAGCGGAAAGCTTTGTAATCAAATTCAGCATCCCCGAAAACCTCATTTTGAAATGCTTTGTATTTTTGATACTTTGTTTTTTGGAATCTTTCAGAAGCAATTCTCGTCTCTCAAAGGCCTAAATTAGTCGAAAATTTCTACCGTAATCCTACAGTAGCTAAGGGGGATTGGTGATTCGCTTTATACTGTAAATCTAAGTTGAAGCTAGCCCTACCGTATGGCACTCGAAGATCCGCGAAAGCTTTCCATATAAGGAAGTTATTAAAGATCAAACGTTGTATATAAACGTTTGACTGCTGGCTCCATCATTCCTTCTGCAGCTGCAATCGTTTTTGTCTGTAGACCAAAGTCTTCTTGTCGAAGGGAATGTCGCATCTGGCATCGTCGATTCATCTTCTGGCATTCCTAACTAGCTTTTTTATTTAGCAAGCATTGCGATCCGTGAACGTCTCAGCTGGTATTAAAGGCAGTGTCCGGGCAAGATGGGCATTTTGGGATTTCAGTGCCATACGAGAGTGGCCCCCCTCAGACACAACACCGCGCAAGTGCGACGTCATAACGCTCGACCTAAAGCAAGAAAAACGACCGGAAAGTGGAGAAACTTACGCCTTGGGGCGGGGACCTTCGAGCTGTCCAAATTCCTGCTATGCGGCAGAGTGCGCATGCCGCCACAGTTAAAATATAGGGTCTCGCAGCGACTCCGCGTCTCTGCCTTGGTGGGGACCGTCAATTTTCAAATCGTGCGTATTTGGAAAACGTATGTTCTCGCCGTTTTCGCGCCTTCTAATGTGGATTTTCGGATTCAGCGTTGCGGATAGCCCCCGGTAAGTGAATTTTCTAGAAATCGAGTTTTTGCCCGGACACTGTTTTTAAGGGGTCATCGTATGCAACTCTTATGCATTATACTGCTCTGTTGCGTCGCGATCCGCTATACATCGATCGAATCACCGATCGCTCTTCGTTACTGTAGGATTACGGTAAGAACTTCCAGCATGTGGAACCATTTCGAAATATGCCATCTGACAAAATTTTTGGTCGGCGATCAATACAGATAAGGGCTTTGCTTAAGCATGATCTGATAGCAATGTCTCTAATGATTTGGAATCACTAGAGACAGTGCTATCAGATCATGCTGATAGCACTGTTTCTAGTGATCCATTGCATATCTATAAACTAATATCGTTTTCGTAATCAGCACCCTCACTTACCCACCTGTGCCAACTACCAGCCCCGCCGTCGCTCAAACTTCTCGAAAAATCGATGAAGTCGATAAGACCGATGATGAAAAGCGGCCCACGACACCAGCTCCGCTCCGAAGGTGTACGCAAAGTTTGTCCGGATTAGATAAACGGTGCATTTTTCTCATTTTTTTTTCTTTTCTCGTATGCACAAAGACACATAGACACATGTCAAACAGACATTCATCTACGTTCATGGTACAGAGAAAATTTAAAATATTGAGATTCTAATGTCAGTCTCGTCATGAAAATCGTAGGGGTTTTTTGCAATTTTTCGTCACTAGGTGGATGTGAAAGCATGGCTCTTCATTCACTAGGTGCGGTTTGAAGGCTGGTCTTTCTGCTACTCTATCATTGCTCTTAAATCTCTGCATGCGCGCTTTGCCGTTGAGTTCTTCTTCATTGTCTGCCAGGCACCATGACGAAATGACAGGATTAACTCATGTTTTCTGTCAAAGTGCAATATGCAATCTCTTTGGTTACAGATAATATCATGACTTATAATAAAGCGTTAACCCGTCCGTCCGTCTGTGTGTATATCGGCCTGTTACGAAATTCGTGGGGGAATTGCAGCAAACGTCTCGAACCATAATTTTGCATGACGCACGTCGCCAGCATGTAGGTCTACAATTTGAAAGTATGAGTGGATTCGCTGTGTAGAACCCACGGAATCGTCTCTAAACGGGTCCACGCAGCTTTTGGCCCGCAAAATTGGAGCCGTATTTAGCCTTTTCACAGAATCGCAAGTGTATTTTCATGTATCTCTTGCTTCAACCAGATCGGCTGCTATAAGGCGGGGCCGCATGACTAGGAGGCGACTGCTCGCGTCCGCTACGCAATCTGCCCCTCCCCCTCGCAAGCATGCTCTCTGAGCATTTTCTAGCTTTAAATCAGGTCACGGAGCCCCGCCGTCCAGCCGCCGATCTAGTCGAAGCAAAGGGTATATGTGCAAATTATCGCCTTAGCCTAAAAAATCACCAAAACTCAAATTTTTCTCAGAAAACGGCGTAAAAAGCAACTTTAGCTTAGATTATTGATTTGTTAGAACTTTACTCAAGAAAATGAGAGGATTTTTGGTCAGAAGTCTAGCTTTTGTGGCTATCGTTCTCATGGTGATTATTAAGCCAAAATAAACTTAGTGAGTGATTTAAATTCTCTTTGTTCACGTGCAAAGATGCTTTTTTCGGCCAAAGTCACCGATTTCACATGTAGTAACTTTTAAAATGAGTATTGTTTACAATTCATTCGTGATGGTTAGCATTGCCCGGGGAGTTACAAAGTCACAAAGCACTGGTAAACAAATACATCTTTTGCGAAGAAGTCAAATTCATTCTAACTCTGAAATGCCGAAAATTACACAAGTGTGCAATTCCGTCCCGAGGGAGGTACAGAGGCCTTCAATCCGAGCGTTATGGGTCTCGTCTTGGATTCTCGCGAGCGGCCTCGCTTAGGTCACTTGATCGCGTTCGAGGGTTTATGGATATTTCCTCAGCCTCCTACTCAATTCAGGAGTTTTCTTTTGCACTAATCTAGGAATAACCTTAGTCTATTCTGCCAGTCTACACAGCTAGTAGGTACACTGTAAATGGCAGTATGCGTGATGTTATCTGATAAATGTTGATCGATACGTGACAGGCATCGGTCGCGAAAGGCAGACAACTCAAAATTTGCATGTTCGTCAATATTTTAAAATACTGGTGCCGGAGCAGCTTATATAACCGTTAAAAAATTTCAAAAATAACGCGCCTCTGTGTTCGCTAGTGCTCGGTAAAGCAACTTGTTAAATTTATAATTTTTTCTACAATTATTAGCTCGCTTCTCTTGTTTGGACCTAAAGGAAGATTCCTAACAATATAGTGTGCGACTCGTTTCCTTAACTCTCTTGGTCTTTGATATTTTTTTCCATGTTGCATGTCACGGTGACTTCTCCCTTGTGAAGCTAGATAAGGAGCATTAGAATTCGTTTTTCCTAACGTTCCATAGACCTCTCGGCACTTGTCAAGAAGCGTTGGCGAATGAACACAGAATGCGAGTGTTCATGGCTTCAATTCAAGTAGACCACGAGAAGTCACTTAAAGTGACCCGTGGGTGGCGAGCAAGAGGAACGGTAGCTGGTGGGTGTCAATACTTGGGCATAGTTCACCGTCATTTTTGTCCATCAGCACAAAAAAGTTTAGAGCGTTTTCTTTTTTTTTCATCCAGACAAGAAGATTGGATGGTTACGTTTGCTTAAAAAAGGTGTTAAAATTAGCTGAAAATGTCAAAAAAGGGTCTCAAATGCGAAATTTCAAGTATTCGAGCTTATTGCTGCAAAAACATCACCGAAATGCATATACCACCGAGATTCAAGCAAGAATTATCAAGCAAATTGAGTATAGCTTCAATTTCATATCTACTATTTCTTATAATTTTGCAATTTGCGAATTATGAAGGCAAATAGTGCATTGACCAGCGGTTGGCATTTTCTATCGTTCCTCTTGCACCACACCCGTGACCCATGTCTGCATCGGTGCATTGACTAAATCCGAAATTTTCAAAAACGAAAAAAATGCTTCAGAATCTTTATTGCCCGGGCAGACAGCACTGCGCTGTTTCACTGCTTCGCTCAGACTAAAAATCCATTTCAAAAAATTTCTACAATAAATTATCTTCACATACTTGTGCGATAGTCCAACTGGAGGACAGTAGCTCCTACGCGGCTGTAAAGTATGACAGGAATAACGCGGTTTGATGAATAAATGATCTTCCCCTTGTTTTGCATGTTACAGAATCTGGAAGACAGAATGACAAGGTCTGCATCTTGCACATCTGTACATTTGCGCAAACCTGTAGCCACTGTTCATGTAATCTTTCTGTGCTTTGATCTCAACTCCTCCCACACTGCAGCCCGCATCAGAAGTTACCATGGTAAAGCCCGATTTCTCGTATTTGATAGAGAGGTCCGTGATTGTTAATTCGACTGTTTTTTCCTGAGGATTCTGTAATTGATAAATGCTAGAATGCAAGCTATAATTTTGTTTCTTCTAAATTCAAACCTCAATCCAGTAGTAGCACATATCGAATTCATCACGTGATGTTGCGTCATTTATATCTCCCAAAGTGTCTTCAATGCTTTGCTTTTCGGAAAGAGCCTTGACAGTTGCACCGCAGGTGTTTGGCTATAATTTTACAACCATTAAGTTATAATAGCAAAGCTTTACAATAACATACTCTTTCGGTGCAAACAGCACCACCGAATCCATGCGGACAAATGCATTTGGAGCAATTTCGAGGATTCGGATAGCCGCCATATTTGCATTCTGCAGCCATGCTAATGGATGCGCATTTGTCTGCAGATTATTTATGCTGTGATTGCTTGGCGTAGAAGACATGACATCAATAGGTAGAAAAAATTTAGCTCTGTGTGCTCTTTTCACATCCCCTCATTACAAAGCCTCACCTCTGCTTTGCAGAGCGCACTGCTCCTACTAATTTTTTATGCCTTCCTTGTGCTCGCGTATTGATGGTTACGGAACACATCCCGCAATGTTGACTATAACGAGTGAATTGAAAACAACTATCCATTCCAGATGTTTTTCCAAATGAGTTCGATAGCTTTGTATGTTCTACGCAAAAGAAATTCTTATATGCAAAAGATCACTTTTTTCACCTTTTCCGAAAAGTAACTTTTTTGATTACTTTATGGGCTGAAGTCTATTGCTTGCACGTTTGCTTTCCAAGCAAATTCATCGCTCTGCAAAAATTCAGATCAGATCCCAGTTCTGAGGGCCAAAAGTCAATTTCACCCACTTGGCGCGATTTCCGAAAGGTGCGCTTTTTTGAACGCTTGTCCTTGAGCTGGTGGACCTACGTGCTGGTAATCATATTATGAAATTTGCAGCTCGAGACGGCTGCACTCGCTTTATGGAGTCTGTAAAGACAGATATACACAGATAAACCGACAGACACCTCAGCGCTTTATACTTGAGTGGTGTTTGACCACAAAATCTGGAAGTTCATCAACATCAACAGAAGAACCGTTCGCTGCCCATATTTTATACCTAGCAAAACTGTCACTAATCTAATAAGCTCTGTTAATTAAAATTTTGTAAGGTGGGAAAAAGCAAAATATTTCAAGACTTGTTCTACTCGAAAATTATTTTAAGGTGTAATAAGCATAGTTGCTCATCTCCTTTCCTACTGTACAATACCGCTCACAGAATGTGCAAAATTTCCGTAAATGTCGCGAAATTCCGAAAATGTCGCGAAATTCCGAAAATGTCGCGAAATTCCGAAAATTCCGCGAACTTTCCGGAATTCGGCGAAGTTTCGCGAAATTCCAGGAATTTCGCGAAACTTCGCGAAATTCCGGAAAGTTCGCGGAATTTTCGGAATTTCGCGACATTTTCGGAATTTCGCGGTATTCACGGAAATTTTGCATACTTTGTGAGCGGTATTGTATAGTAATATCATAAGTGAGCGGGGCTTACAGTTCACAGCTAAAAAGCGAAAAATCGATATTTTGGAGGTTAATGAACCACGACATCCTCAAAAATAGATAGAATCGGTCTTCTGAGGGCTGTAAAATCCCGAAAATCGACAAAAATCGATAAATCGATATCCTGGAGGTTTCGAAACACCGAAAATTGACAAAAAAATAAAATCGATATTTTGAAGGTTGCGAAATCCCAGAAATTGACGAAAATCGATATCCTAAAAATCGGCAAAATTGATAAAATCGATATTTTGAAGGTTGCAAAATCCCGAAAATTGACAAAAATCGATAAAATCGATATTCTGAAGGTTTCGAGATTTCGGAAATCGGTAAAATTATCGAAAAACTAAGCGAAAAATTCGAAAAACTCCATAATAAGCTCATTTCCAGTGCTTTTATACAGCTGAATCTCCTCCAAGCAAGCTCCGCCCACTTTATACCCCACGCCACGATCGAAATTGAAGAAAATAAGAAAAATTAAGAAAAAATAAGCGAAAATCGCGTTTTTCTAAGCTTATTTACCCCTTTCTAGCCGGTTTCAGCCCCCTAACCAGGTCCAGATGCCGCGGGTAACTATCACACGCGCTGCACAAATAAAGAGAGGGGGAAAAATGAGGGGGGAGAAAGAGGAGAAATTGCGAGACCCTGAACTAAAACAAGTCCGGGAAGGTTTATAGATGGGCTCCCACAGGCGGAGCCCCTGCATTTTCTCCGAATTATATGTGCTGTCCCCCTCGAATTCAAACTGAAGAATGGCTATCCCAGCCTGTTATCCCTACTCTCCACGGAGATAAAATTCAAAATATGCATCATCGCCTTTATATAGCGCCTCCTACGGTGGAGCTACAGCCATGATCTACCCCTAGAAAAATAGAGCTATCAAAAGTGCATATCATTGACCACATGATATTACCCCAACCCTACAACTTGCAGAGATATAAGGGCGCAAACTCGTCTTTATTGACAGATTTCCCAAGTTCAGCTGTCAATTAGGCACTTTTATTGGAAACTTGTTATCCTACGACCTTCTCTCTAAAAATCATATTTTCAGAGATCTGTCCAATAAAACAAACTATAGCCTCATATCTGTAATATTCGCAGTGTTATTAGCCCCCCAACATGCATGCTCAGGCCGTAAAATCGGCTCTCCCAAAGTTGCTCCGTAATTCCCCCAAAAATCATGTTAGACGCCTCTCTCATACCTATACATCCCATATTTTTTCCAGCTTTTTAGAAGCAATACACATTGATATAGCGCGCTCTTGGCCTCTCGCTCCTCACTCTTGGCCTCGGCGCAAGATTTGGTTAAAATATTGAGGTTCTCGGATTGACCGTAAACTTCACTCATAGTGGTTTTTGGTCGCGATCTTTACGAAAATCCTATTTATTTTGCACTAGAGAGTCTTACAGTAAAGCTAAAGTGAGATAGAGCTAAACCAATCAAGATCGCAACTTCGCCTGCACTTTTCGCTTACCTGTTGCGGAAATTGTCCGCAAATTTTTGTGAGTTCAAAACTTTGTGAACACCTCTATCGGACCATGCTTAGCACAGATCTTTATTTGAATTGTTCGTCAGATTATGATGTTACGAAATCGCCTTCTCATGAATTGTCTTTCAAATTCGAAAGTCGTGTTGGCAGATATTCTATCCTACAATGTGCACTAGCAGCAAAACAATGTAAGAAATGTTGTTAGCACGTCGAATACAATACCGCTCACAGAATGTGCAAAATTTCCGTAAATGTCGCGAAATTCCGAAAATGTCGCGAAATTCCGAAAATTCCGCGAACTTTCCGGAATTTCGCGAAGTTTCGCGAAATTCCAGGAATTTCGCGGTATTCACGGAAATTTTGCATACTTTGTGAGCGGTATTGTACATCGCCATTCTGAGTTTATCAGAAGTAAAAACTTTTAGAACAATCCTTCTCTGATTATCTTTGACAAATTGCGCATTTACCTCAATTAGTACCCAAACAAAAAGTATATTAGGTAAGCAAACGCGCAAGCATACCACCGAAAATTTTCCTCCATACCTAATTTGAACTTTAAAAATTTTTTCAAAAGTCATTTTGATTATTTACAAATATAAACAAGTCACCACATTTTTGTAACCCATATAAGTAAATTCGAAAAATATCGCTGTCCGTTTTGAGCGGAACGAGCTCTCTGTCTCTCCCGTCTCGATAAGCCACTATAGTCTATAAGATGTGGCACTGAAGAAGAACACTTTGAATGCTTTAACGCTTACCGAAGCAACCGTAGAATCTATTCATGAGAAGTACGTCATAGAAACTCAAAAATGGTGAGCCCATCGTTTCGAGGTAATCTCCATATCCCTCGTGAGGTATGATCGTTGGCTTCATTTTATCTATCGCAAAACTGGAAGTCAAATTCTGGAATGGTTGCTCGGGACCTTTGACGGTAAACTCACGCACGTCCTGAGTAGTGCATCATGCTGCCAAAGTCATAGGGTACATGATAGTCATTAGATGATTTTTCGGTTTGTTTGACGAAATCTTCCATATGATTAGGCTCAAATTATTTGCTTTCGCATTTAGTTCGTATCACATATGCGAACCGTAGCCTACCTACCTAACTGTTCTAAGCCTACCTCGATGTTATCCTTATCGATGAAGACGTAGTCATCACGGTCATACCTCGTCTGAGTGTGTCGCAACCCGAGAGCGTGAGCAAACTCGTGCGCAGCAATCCAGTACTAGGATAAAGGGTCGCACAAGATAAGCCTCACATTTCTGGAGAACTAGGGCAAGCGAGGAAGTTTGTTGGAAGAGAAAAGAAAGATTTTATTGCATTTTCACAACTTCCCTCATTCTTTTTACTTTCATTTTTTAGTCCATCTGTGACATTTATCAGGTAATTTATCTTATATTATCTCGCTTCTAAAAATGCTACTGCCTACTTTTTCACAACCATCACCCAGAGAAAGCTCTTGCACTCCGTGCATGTTTCCAAGTACAGAATAACATCCTTTTCGACGATAGACTTCTACACGTTCAGGAGCTGAATGCAAGCTATCAACAAGCCATTCCCTTCGTAGTATTTTTACCGCTATCGCTTTCAATCATGTCGATGCAAGTATTATCGTTCCATAATTTTGTTCCTTTTCGAGCGGCAGCCTTCATTTTTTCAGCTGCAAAAGTTTCAGAGGCATCCTTTGCTTTGATATTGCGATCAGGATTAGTGTGCGTCACATACTTGCACTAGAGTCGAAAGAATAATACAAGCGTTTGTCCCATTTGTCTAGGTTGTCATGTGCCTGTCTTCGTGTACGTATACCATTTTTTTCCGCAATCAGCTCATCAGCTTGCTTTCTATAAGAAAGTGTGAAGAGGCGGATTTGTCTGCTCAAATCTGTTTGGGTTTACTCTGTTAGGATCATATCTCCTTGATACAATAGTTCAGACATTCCGCTTCTCTCGTTTATAGCTTCAATCGAGTTGTCTTCCGTCCATTCAATAGTTTTCAGTGCCTAAAAAGGTTATATAGACTCGTCGCTTCCACAGCAGATTACCTTCAGCCTTTCCCTCAGACTAATCTGCTGTTGCAGATCCAACTTTGGTACTTTCGCACGTCTATCCAGCTTTCTCCGAATTGCAAGTAGATGATCAACGTCTAGATCCTAAAATTAGGATTCTTCCAACCCTCTGCCGATGGTTACGCTGACTCACCGAATGCATTTCAGCCAGCCGTTTCTTAAGTTGGTTTATTTTGTTCAAATCGAGCAGGCTAGTACTTATGCAGACAAGAAGAAGGAAAAGAAAGGGTTTTCTCATCCTGAAGTACGGTAGAGGAGGGAGTTATTCTTGACTAAAACACCACATAAGGCTACATTGCTTTTTGGCTTGCATGGATCTGACCTCACTTTTATATACGCTGATGCGATCGCGATGTTAGGATCTTTAACGACGGACATCAGAGGCAGATTGGAAATGGAATTAGAATATTTTTGGTCAAGCTCACTTCACAGTCTTTTGAAAAAAGATCTATAGAACTAACAGATTGTTTGCCTGCTGAGACAACACTGTGTAGTTTAGTTTGGTCGTTGGTACCACAATAATGCAAGATGCGGAACCTAGCCTGCGAGACTAAGGTGCTCAGCACGAGCCTATCTAGGAGCTGCGAAATGCTACTTAAAAGTTATTTTCAAATAAAGAGCTGTTTTTGTTTTCCAAGTACACTTAGGGCACCTACGATAGAGCGGAGCATGCTCTACAAGGCCACCAAGCATCCACGTAAGTTATAATCTACTCAAAATTTGGAGCAAAAAACCAAAATTTTTTAGCTGCTTTAAAAGTGGATCTCCTTCCAGAAAATTTCCACAGACTTCCAACTTGGTCTCTATATAATAGACACATAGCAGTACCCAAAAATATATAACCTATATAAACCTATCGGAATTAGACAGCTAAATAAGTATTTTTGCATAGCTATGCTTGAACTAAAAAAGGAGTACAATGGATGTGTAGTTGGTATTCCAACATATTAGTATCTAGAGAAGAAAGCTGCGTTTTTCTTCATCAAATAGTAACTGGTTTTTCGGAGTACACAAAGTGTTAACTATATAAATGATAAAATGTAAGAGGACACAAAGCCTATGAAAGGCAAGCATGACCTAATATGAGATAATGTGAAGATAATGAGTGGCTTTTATGTGGATTTTTTTGACTCATTTCTAATAATCTTCTCCCATTTCGCTCCCCAAAAATACCAAAAGCAATGTTTCTACAGTTTAGTCATTAAACAAACTTTTGTTAGCTATCTTAGCTACTCAAATATACATCAAATAGCCATATTTCGGCGTTCTCTCATGGTCTTTTCACAGCAGCGCCAAAAAATATGTTGTTTCAGATTTTCTAATACATGCATTGAATCATGAGCATCAGAAATATCACATGCTGAATAGGCGTAATCACACCAAGATGTTCACCTTTTCTTCTCAACGCTTTATTACATTCGTCATCATGCTTCATGATATCATATGCTTGAAAGTCTGCATCATTGCAATCCATTGTCTTTTCTTCATTGGTGCTTATTACTTGGAACATAGTTGTGAAATGCGCTGTGTTGTGTGCTTATGTCTGAAAACTTTCCGGACACAACCTTTGGTTCTGGTATCCAGAGCCGAATAACTCGCAAGGAACATTTCAGGAACAGGAAAGTTAATAGAAGCTGTGCACTGAGCACGATGGCATCGATTTTCTAGGTTAAAAGGCACATAAATAGCTGTCTCTTGACTAAACTATAGTCTAGGTTATGCATGACTCCCGTCCCAGTAACTGAATCCAACTATCAGCGCACACCAAACTCCCCCCTTCTTGAGCCGAATGCAGGTACTCATTGTTACGAATAGCTGAGGTGTCAATAAGCTAATAATTGTTGAGTGTCAATAAGCAACTACATGACCCAACTATTCTTTAATTTCAAGTCATAATCCAGGCAAAATTTGGAGCAAAAAATCAGAATTTTTGGCTATTTTCGAAACCGGACCTCCTTCCAGATAATTCCTGCGGACTTCCAACTTGGTTTTTATATTGGGGTATGTATCAGTACTAATATTTATTCGGTGGATTTTTTCCGGGCTTAAAAGTGAGAAACAAAGATGGTCCGAGAATGCGAATATAACTCTTTTTTGGGTTTTTCATGAAAAACTAGGTATTTCTCGATAATGAGATCACATGCAGAGGTGAAGACTTTGGGATTATACTTATAAGGCTTGTTAATATACAATGACATATTTGGGAGGGCTGGGGCGGAGTTTGCCATTTTTGGACTATCTCTTTTTCCTCGCTTGGAAAGAAATTCAGTAAAAACATAGAGTACTACTATGTGCCTACTGTGTAATGACCAAGTTGGAGGTTTGTAGGGTTCTTCCTCGCAAAATACAGTTTTCAGGTGACTTTTCTCTCAATGGCTTTAAATTTTACATGGAATACGACTTCGGCAACCCTTGGTGGTAATTTTCTGGAGCTTGATCTGCTCTTCATACCTTAAATCTACTAGGGAAGAAGAACAGTTTGAATTATTTGAAAAGGAGTTTACTTTTGGACAATCTAACATTTTTTTTCATGCTAGCTCGTACCTTCTCTGCTCCAGAATGATCCTGTTTGGGTGCTTATCAAACTACGCCGCAAGCTGCAGGGATTGTGCCGATGCCCCCGCATTCGCGATTACTTTGACTGTAGTCGTTCATCTTCTTACAAGGGAAATACTTGGTCGGAGGGGGCATTTTTTGTATAAAAATGTATACTTTCTTATTGAGTATGGAACGCTAATTCCAGTTCTTTTTTGTTACCTGTAAAGCACTTTCCAGGAGGAGAGTTATGGGAGTTTTCTGAAGCAAAAAACTCGACGGATAAAAACCATCCAGAATTGTAGTCTGTAGGCTCAAATGTAACCATGATTCAGGGCATTTTATGTAACTAGCTGTCGTACCCGGCCTTGCCCGGGATAACATCACTTAGGGTTCACTGTCTTTGGATATATGTGACACTCAAAGCAGTAGTGTATCATTGAAGTTTGTTTGCAAAAATAAAAATAAAATGTGTACACTTTTACTCAACAGCATTGTCTCTTTTCTTTTTGAAACATGGAAGACGTGAAAAAACTTGAAGAGCAAGCATTGCGATATAGGTGGAAGAACGTTCGAATAATGTAGCGCCCATTGCTATCCTGAGGATCATTTTTCCTAGTACTTCGCCGCTAACGGTTATTCTGTTTTAACTCCCGCACTCTACCCTCCTCTCCTGTACTACGACAAAAGTAAGTGCTTCTTTGACTGTCCTTGCTTTAGAGAGCGAATACCTTTATAGCCAAATCAACAGCCATTCTACCACGTTAAAGATATGTAATCCACAACTTGTGAGCCATTTGGATAACAGATTAATGAAGAAAAAAACTCAAGGACTTCAGTCAATAGACAAAATTATGATGTAAGCTTTCAGATTGAGAGTCACGCTCATGCGGCTGGAATTCATGCCGGAGGTTCCAACGCTAGAGTGTGGCACGCAATTTGAGACAGCTTGTAACTTAGCGATTGGCTCACATCTGCATCAAAAAAAGGCTTTGACTTGCGTTAACAACTCTACTACCTCGCACCGCAAAAGATGCATCTCGCAGTTTTAAACAGACTATATAGGATCCACATCTGAACGCTTTCGACCTTGCTTTGATGACGAAAGTTCACAATGGATCGTACTGCTCTTGTTTACATAAGTGTAGGAATGGTTCGGCAATAGCTGCTGATAAGCTTCATTCCCTTACTGAGAGTGCAACAAATCAATAAATCGATAGAAGGACCCAGCGAATTGTCGAAAAAAGTAGCCTATCTTTTGCGCCGTGGCTTGTTTATAGGGAAACAAAATTCAGCCTCTTTGGTTCACATACAAAGGAGTCTATAAGCCACAAACATCCTAACAAACACGGTACAGTGTTTGAGTTTTATCATGACTTATAATAACGGGCTAAGGATGTTTACGTGACTTTGTGTGTGTGTTTGTGTGTCTGTTACGAAATTCGTGGAGCGTGTTCCAGCCAGCGTTTTAAGCCCAAATTTTGTATAGTGCATGCTACCTTCGTGAAAGTCCAACATGCAAAAGCACGAGTAGATTCGTTGAGTGGATCCCTCAGAAATTGCGCGCCGAACGGGTCCACCTGGCTTCTGTACCGCAAAATTCGGTCCGTATCACCACTTTTGGCAGAGTCGTGGATGAGTTTGGTAAGCAAATGTGCAAGCGATGGAGTTTAGCCAGAAAAGTGGTCGAAAGTTTACTACGTAACGAAAACGGCGCCAAAACGAATTGGTTGTGTAAATAGTCAAGTTTCCAAGGTTCTAGCTAAGCGTTTGAGAAGATTTTCGCACAGAGATGTAGCTCACGGTTATCATTACCTTTACGGCGACTACCAAGTTATGACAAATCCAAAACCTATTCAAATTTGCGTCTGTCTTCCTGCGAAAAGTTTCATCCACGCGAAATCACCGATCTCACGTGAAAAGACTTTCTAAATGAGTGGTTGCTTACATTTTATTTGTGGTAGTCGGCATAGCGCGGTGAGTTCCAGTGCCACGATTTTACGAGAATGAGTAAGGCACATAGATAGTAGAGCCAGTGCGAACCTCTGCGAAGCAGAGGTGACGCACTGGTATATATATCATAACTTATAATAACGGGCTAAGGGTTGTTTACGTTTGTCTGTCTGTGTGTGTGAATCTCTATCTGTCACGAAATTCGTAGAGCAACTTCCAACAAATGTCTTGAGCTAGAATTTTGGTAGTAGCACCCTTTCAGCATGTAGGTAATATGTGCAAAAGCACAAGCCGGTCCGATAATTAGAACCTGTGAAAACTGAGCGCCAAACGGATCCACGCGACTGTTTGCGCGCTAAAGTGGGCCTGTATTTGAACTTTTTTCGAAGTCGTGGATTTGTTTAACAAGTAGATCCGCAAATCATAGACTCGGGCCCAAAAATTGAACAAAATTTCCACTTTTACGCAAGGTTGGCGCCAAAAAGGGATGATTGCGTAGATAATCGATTTGTCGAGGTTTTACCCAAGAATTAGAGAAGATTTTTGTTCAGGGATGTAACTCACGGTTGTCATCATCCTTCTGGCGACTATCAAGTCATTATAACTCCAGTAGCTGATTGAAACTCGCATTTGAACTTTGGGAGAAGACTTTCTTTTCCCCGAAGTCACCGATCATAGACGAAAAAGCTTTTGGAATGAGTAGTTGTTTACAATTCATTTGTAATGATCGGCATCGCGCGGTAAGTTTCAAAG